ATAGGAACCACCTTTGTTGGGAAGGCAACAGTGTTCCGTGTGCCTTCGGCATTTAGTCATGCCGGCCACATGACCACGAGGACATCTTCGGACAGTGCTGGCTCTTTGGCTTTGAAATGGAAAGGAGCACCATGACCTAGAGTTGGGAATGACTAGCATATATGTGCGAGGGAACCTTTAGCTTTACCTCAAGGGAAAATTGCACATTTTGAAAAGGAAATGGAAAGGAAGGAAAAATAAAGTAATAGATATGTAAAAGAGAGAGAGAGAGAGAGAGAGAAAGAAAGAAAGAAAGAAAGAAAGAAAGAAAGAAAGAAAGAAAGAAAGAGAAAGGAAGAAAAATAGAAGAGAAGAGGTGGTTTCCAAACTTTAACAGCAGTTGCAAGCACATTTATATTTTACCATCTTGCTAAGATTACATCATAATTTCCTTCTTTCCATTTTCATCAAACCTATAAATCACAAGTTTATTTTTTCCCGGCAAAAAGTCCATAAGGGGTTTCCAGTCACTAATAGTTGTATTTATTGCTCTTTCCTTAACCAAACAAGTCAGTTTTGCCATGTCTGCTAATTCTGTCGTCTTCCGTGGTCCTTTTTTCTTAACAGCTGCCCAACTCCTAGGAGGTGTTGTAGGAGGAGGAACATCAGGAGGTGGTGGTGGTGGATTGCTCCCCGGTACTGATCTTAATGTAGGAGGAACACCAGTAGTTGGAGGAGGTGGAACAGGAGGTGGAACAGGAGGTGGAGGAACCGGCGGTACTGTAGGAGGAACACCAATACTGGGAGGTGGTGGTGGTGGAACAGGAGGCGGTGGAACAGGCGGCGGTGGAACAGGAGGTGGTGGAACAGGAGGCGGTGGAGGAGGATTTCCTGTCACTACAACAACAACCACAGGAATGCCCGTCACTACCACCACCACTACCACCACCACCACCACCACTACTACCCCAATGACAACAACGGGTAAGCATTCAGCCATTTGTGGGACATATGGGTAATAGCATCTGGTGGAAACCCCTGTAGGTCTTTGCCCCTTCATAATGGAGGGGGAGAAGTCTTAAGAGATGTGATAGGGTGGTGGTGGATCTTGTGATTTTCTTTTCTTTCCAGTAGATGCTGGGATAGAGAACAAGACCAATTTTGTGCTACTAAAATACTGTAGCAGGGATGCAATTCAGTTTTACAACTGATGGGAGGGTGGGGAAAATGATCTTTGGGAGAATTGGCTATCACTATTCTTACGCCATCTAGAAGTTCTCATTTATTCCTCTCAAAAGCTCCTCCAAAGGATTCAACGGGAATGTTGTTTTGAGGAGGTTTTGGAGAAGTAAAGATGGTGTTTTGAGCAAGGAATATTACTGCTACCACAACAAAACGACCTATGGTTGTGAGCTTCAGTCTTTTTCATTTTATCTGCACAGATTATGGCAGTAATATTTCATCTAATGAGGTCATTTTTAGGGCTGTTCATTTATAATTTAAACTAATCATCCAGTTATACTCATTTTAGTGTTTTCACCTCTGATTTGTTTTTCTCTCCTAGGTGTACATGGGTGCGTTACAACTTCTGCTACCACCAAGGGTAAGATGCATATCAATGTAACTCCATAGATTCCATAGGGGTGGACAATCTCCAAATCTTTGCAGTCTTTGGGGCCCTTCTAATCATAGTTGCTGAATGCTGTCAATTCTGTTTCCTGCCCTGTTATAATGGAAGCCTACTAAAGCTGGCTGAGGAACTCCGTGAGATGAAGTCCACAAGTCTTAAAGTTGCCAAGATTGGAGAACCCTGTTTTAGAACATGAGAAGACCTGGTGTTTTCAGAGGGAGGTTCAAAAGAGACATAATATTTGGGAGCAGAATATCTCTAGATATTTCTATAGACCTAGCATTCCATGTCAACTGAACCAGACTTGTGTGTCCAGTCCATTTGCCTAATAATTTGGTCCCATCTTCCTCCTTCCTTCAAGTGCCCTTCATTTTTTGCAGCCTCAGCTAGAGTTAGGCTGTATCTTTTTTTGATGTTTCAAAAAAGTCAAAATACTTAAGTACGCAGGCAAGGCAACACTCCTCAAAATCATCCTAGACTAAATCCTTGTATCTCTTTTGACTGTACCTCTGTAGGAAGTTAGCACCCACACCTCTCCTAGAAAATGAAATATTTTAGGGAATATTTTAGGAAATCTTAAAAGGGCAGAATATTTCCCTCTAAAAGGGAGGCAGAAACTCATCCCCCTCCCTATCTTTGTCAATGAGCCATTAAGGCCTGAGCCAGAGAAACATGTTTTAGGCAGGAAGCGGACTCACTCTTAATAGCTCCCCCACCTTTGTCAATGGGACATTAAGGCCTGAGCCAGCCTATTGCACCACCCATCAAGTTTCAACCAAACTTAGCACACAACCTACAATGTTAGCTAAGAGCCCCGCTCCTGGGAGTCTGACAACCAATCAGAATACATTTCTTACAGAGGAACAGGAAACAGAGAGGTAGGGCCCCAGAGAGGGCATAACACCAGGGATTCTCAGCATCTCGGCCTTTTTTCCCCTGCCCAGGAACTCAAGCGATGTGGTCCTGTCCAACAATAAACCATCTTTCCAAGCAGCCTCCATGTTTCCAGTGTCTTTTCCCCCACTTGGAACTGAACCTAGAAGGACATTTCTTCCAATACTTCCTTTAGAATAGTAGAAGAATGGTCATAGGTTTGCCTTTAAATGGAAGCTCTGTTTCCTTTTTTGTTTCTTAATCCTTGACAGATGATGTGACCCTCAGACCCTGGGAAGTTGCGATGATTGTTCTGGGCTGTTTATTTGGAGGCATGCTGATCTTTGGATTAATGTGCATGGTAAATATATGGTTATTTATATGTTTGTTTGCTGCACTGATCTCCACGGGAAAATGGATCTAACAATGAAAAAAAAAGGAATAAAAGCTTTTTCTTGAAAAATCTAATGTCCTAGATGCATAGATCAATTGGTCCCAGGGAGGCGTGTAATTCATTGAGATACTTAATTATAGGGATGGCAAACAATGGCTCTTCTATGATCTGTGGACTTCAGCTCCCAGAATTCTGGTGGCTCAGGAATTCTGGGAGTTGAAGTCCACAGGTCATAAAAAGGCCATTGTTTGCCACTCCTGCTTCATTATGAAAAGCATACATCCATTTTATCTTTCTCCTTTCTTCATATGTGTGATCTTATCAAACACGACAGCACTAGCTGCTAATTGCAGAAGATTTCATGCTTAGGTTCTTGAGGGAGCAGACAAATGGGAGGAAACTTGTGAAAGACAGAATAACTATTTCCAGGGAATTATAGAAAGACAAAATTGAAGCAATTATGACCGGATGTTTACAAAGCCTTTCTTGTTTATTTTAGATCTGCTACTATCTGAAGAGAAGATGTCCAGTACAGCAGAGTACCTGTGTAACAACAGGAAGTTACATCCCTCATTCTGTACAATGTGGACGATGCTGAGATGTTAAACAATGGAAAAGACATAATTGGAACAAACTGTGTTAACCATCTCTTCTGCTGCTATTTCTGCAGTCACAGCAGTAGTTGTACTAGAAAGCATGGCTGTTTTTCTTCTTCCACATGTAGATTCAGATTATAAATAATTTAGAATATAGACTTTATGTTGGCTCGGAAGTCAACCATGATGGTCTTTGATGGACATCTGTTGTTTGGTGTTCAAAGTCATATTTCTTTCAGAACATCTCACTTCTATTGGTGACTGTTGTAGTTAATTAGTAATTCTTAGAACTTTTCTCCATCCATTGTCTGTTCCTGCTTACCACCTATCTACTTTCTCTTATGTAGTGCCCTCTTAAAAGAAGTAAAAAGTATTCTTAGATTGGAACAAGACAGATGCTTATGATAGTTCTGTGACAGTAAAGAATAAAGAAAGGAACCCACCCTCTGTGGAGTTCGGGGAGGGGGGCATCTTTGGCTTACTAAATATTCCAAAGATTTATTGATCAATGCTAAAGTTTATACCTCATTCATGAAAATGCAAAGGCTAATGACAAGGGAACAAAAGAATGGTCTGAAGAGGTAGGATATGATGCAAATTTAGAACATATCAGGAAGAGAGGAAGAGAGAGAGAAAGAAAAAAAAGATAGAAAGAAAGAGAAAGAAAGAGAAAAAGAAAGAAGGAAGGAAAGAAAGAAAACAGAAAGAGAAAGAAAGAGAAAGAAAAGGAAGGAAAGAGAGAAAGAACATAAAAAGAGAAAGAAAGAGAAAGAAAGGGAAGAAAGGAAAGAGGAAGACAAGAGAAAGAAAAGGGAAAGAGAAAGAAAGAGATAGCGATAGAAAGAGAAAGAAAGAAAGAGAAAGAAAGGAGAAAAGAAAGAGAGAAAAGAAAGAAAAAAGAAAGAAAGAAAGAAGACGTCCTAATGATTGCTATAAAATGATAGCAAAACTGGGTCTGATGATGTGGTCACACACTTTACAACTGTACTGACTTACAATGGAAATTTCACTGCCAATTGTCCCAACTTTGGTCCCAATTGAGGATTACTGGTAAATGCTTTGAAATGCATGTAGGAATCTTAAACGTGAATTTTCTTCCTCCTGTAGTACAGTAGTGCTAAATTACCTTTCCTGCTTGTTCTAATGGTAATTTGTTTCTTCCTGCTTTGATTTGTATATTTGTACATAAATAGATATTACATGGCAATGTATGTTTCTCTTTCTTCCTTTTTGGTCGCATGTATATATTTGTGCATCACAATATCTTATTTTTACTTTTAGTAGACATTTTAAAAATACAGTCAGGACAAAACACTTAACTAAAAAAAGAAAAAAATAAGAGCGAAAAGGGATTTATACTGTAAGCCCTATTAAGAATTTCAAAATGACATTAGGTTAGTGTTGCACATTAAGATATGTTGCATCAATTTTAAATTAAAGCTAATAGTAAATAATTAAAGTAGTCAGTATAATATAAACCACAATGATGAATTAATAATTTTTGTCTCATGCAGAGGTTCTCAAACTTTCTTAGTTCATAGTATCCTTGCTATATACCCTATATAGCAATAGCAATAGTAGTAGCACTTAGACCTATATACTACTTCATAGTGCTTTACAGTGCTCTCTAAGCAGTTTACAGAGACAGCATTGTTGCCCCAACAATCTGGGTCCTCATTTTTCCGACCTCAGAAAGATGGAAGGATGAGCCGGTGAGAATTAAATTGCTGGCAGTTGGCAGAATTAGCCCACAATACTGCATTCTAGCCACTGCACCACCACAGCTCTTGATAATTCTTTTACTGTGACATCTAGGCCAGCTAGTACTGTACTTCCTGTCATGTCTGAGAGATGTCGACTATTACTATGTTTTCCTTAAAAATTTAAAATATTCTACAGTGCCCTGTCAGTCTACTGGGGTGGCCTATAGCACTGTGGCACGCAGCTTGGGAAATGTTGATCTAAACCAGTGTTTCTTAAATTGGCAACTCCAAGATGTGTGGACTTCAATTCTCAGAATTCCCCAGCCAGCAACCAGCATTGCCATAGCTGGCTGAGGAATTCTGGAAGTTGAAGTCCACTCATCTTAAAGTCACCAAATTTGAGAAAACATCATCCTAGACCAGTGTTTCTCAACCTTGGCAACTTGAAGATGTCTGGATTCCAACTCCCAGAATTCCCCAGCCAGCAACCAGCATTGCCATAGCTGGCTGAGGAATTCTGGAAGTTGAAGTCCACTCATCTTAAAGTCACCAAATTTGAGAACCACTGGTGTCATCTAAGAGGTTTACTCTTATTTAATAAAACAAACTAAAGCTAAGAGATTAAAGCTTCATGTGAAAAAGTGTTCCCTAAGTGGAATCCCTAAGTGATTTCTAAGTTGATTTACATTTTGTATGAGACATATGAGGTTATTTTTGACACAGATGCAAAGACCCAAATAAACACAGGAATAGGAACATCCATAAATTTTCTTCTGGGAAAGAAACAGGACAGGTTTGTTTAAGTAATAAATTGCTGGGAGTTCAATGTCATATAATTGTAAAAAAAAGTATTATTATTAATGTGCAAGAAAGCAAATTTGTTCATTTTCCCAGCCTAGAGTTCTGGATGATTTGAATTCTTCTGAATGAAGAAATCTAAATTTCCATAATTTTTTTTAACCACAAGAGAGATTGTACTTTGCAAAAGAACTTAGCACTAGAGCTTGCTAACTGACTCACCACCATTCAGACAACGCACTTCCTGCGTTACTTGTATGTAATTATTCTTACATCAACTTGGATGTAAAGTTGTTGTATGGCCTGGTCTGATCTGATGCAATGTCAAACAGGTCCCATTTTCAGCATATAAATTGGTCATCCACTGTCTACTTGCTATGACACAAATATGTCAACCATTAAAAAGCATAATAATACAAGGAATATAAAACCTTCCATTCCCCACTATCCTGTCAGAGCTGAAGAAGCTTCTTGGATGAGGAGTGAAACATCTTCAAAACAAAAAACCAGAAAGTCCAGTTGCCTCCTGAAAAAGCACCTTTAGGACAACCATGACCTGGATGACTGAGAATCTCTACAGATATCAAAATACACCACACACACACACACCTCCAAGAGATATGAGATACTACCAGAATTGCAAGATTCAGCAACTGACGGGCACAAATCTAAAGAAAATCCTGGAGATTTTAGCTGTTATCGGCAAACATAGTATAATGAGCTAATCACATACTTCCCAACAGGAAAAAAATATGGAAAGGATAAAAAGTACAGTTGTAGCTGCTCTTAGATCTTCTCTGTCCTCAAAAGAAAACCTGACAGTCAAACTGGATATGTCTTGGGAGCACCAATGATTTCTAATTCTGACTTCTTGGGAGTGTCTTTGATTTTGTTAATTTTTAGATAGTTTCATGAGGAGTATCGTTTTAAGGAGGTCCTGGAACTCCATTTATATCTCATAAATGCAGCCAAGACAGGATATACAAGCAAGTCAGGGCGAGACCTAAAGTTTTGGGATGAGTAAAGGAAATGAGCAACTATGGGAGAGGTCCATCTTCGAGTTTTTCACTGCAGTGTCCCACTTACACTGGGACAAGGTTGACTCAGGCCTCCATCCTTCCGAGGTTGGTAAAATGAGGACCCAGATTGTTGGGGGCAATAGGCTGACTCTGTAAACTCCTTACAGAGGCTGTAAAAAAAACCTGAAGCGGTATATGAGTCTAAGTGCTATTGCTATTGCTATTGCTACACAAAATATACTGGTCATTCAGATGATGTTAGTGTCATCTAGTAAGTAGCACTTACTTACTAGTAAGACTGTTGTCTAGCTGTTGTCCTCTCCAGCCCTGGGCAACTGCAGGAAGGAGCAAAGCAACCAAATGACACAGTGGTGAAATTCATTTTTTTTTTTACTACGGGTTCTGTGGATGTGGCTTGGTGGGCGTGGCAGGGGAAGGATACTGCAAAATCTCCATTCTCCACTCCTGGGGGAAGGAAATTGCAAAATCCCCACTCCCACCCTACTCTGGGGCTAATCAGAGGTGGTATGTACTGGTTCTCTGAACTACTCAAAAATTCTGCTACTGGTTCTCTGAACTACTCAAAATTTCCGCTACCGGTTCTCTGAACTACTCAAAATTTCCGCTACCGGTTCTCCAAACTATTCAAAATTTTCACTACAGGTTCTCCCGAACCTGTCAGAACCTGCCGAATTTCACCCCTGTAATGACACCATGCTGGCCATATGTCCAGTTCCAGTCACCCTCGTACAAAAAAGATGCTGAGACCCTAGAAAGATTGCAAAGAAGAGCAACAAAGATAATATGGGGTCTGGAGGCTAAAATGTATGATGAACAATTGGTGGAACTAGATATGTCTAGTCTAATGAAGAGAAGGACTATGGGTGAAATGAACGTTTTCTAGTATTTGAGGGGCAGGGAGGTTAACATATTTCCCCAAAACACCTGTGGGCAGGACAATAACTAGCAGATGGAAACTGATCGAGGAGAGAAGCGACCTGGAATTAAGAAGAAATTCCCTGACAGTGAGAATAATTAATCAGTGGAACAGTTTGCCTTCAGAAATTGTGGCTGCTTCATCACTGGAGGCCTTTAAGAAGAGAGTGGAGCCACTTGTCTGAAATGGTATAGGGTCTCCTAATTCAGCAGGGGGATTGGTCTAGAAGGCCTCCAAGGTCCCTTCCAACTCTGTTAATTTATGTTCAATGAAAATTATGTAATTTCAGATGATTACACAGTGATCC